GGTTCGGCAATTTGATGGTCGACTCAATGATCAGACATTTAGATCAACACTTTTGATACGATATTTTATTTAAATTTTAAAACTAAACTATAATGAAATTATATTTTTTTATATTTGCAAAAAACATATTAAATTTGACTCAAAAAAAACAATGATTTGATAATTACTTTCGACTCAATTTGTTGAACAAATTAAATGATTATAAAATTTGTTTAGTTTTCATTCGTTTCTTATCCAACAAAGACGGCGACCATTCGTCCAAATGAAGCGTCTCTTTAGACGATTCACTCATATCTATATCGTATGCTTTTGGACCGAATTTGAACAAAACTTCTGACGCTTGCAATCGGAACAGTCTTCGGAGTGCATCCAATTCGGCCATCTGTTTGCCGATTTCGATGGTCTCTCCCGGAGCTGAGTTTAAATGATGGTAAATAAGTATACAAATGGTATTATAAGTAGAGAAAGACTCACCGGAACCGATGAACTGCTTATCGACGTAAATGCCGACCACATAACAGGCCTCTATAGTCCCGGCGGCGCTTTCCCGCAGTAGTCTATATTCAGGAGCGGGTAATCGTTCGCGGCTTAAGANTCGACGTAAATGCCGACCACATAACAGGCCTCTATAGTCCCGGCGGCGCTTTCCCGCAGTAGTCTATATTCAGGAGCGGGTAATCGTTCGCGGCTTAAGATGGCGTTCAGATTGAACCGCGGGTTCGGAATATCCCATATTTCCAGTAAGTCTTTGTCCAATAGATAAGTCATTACAAAATCCAATATAAAATTTTCGGCTCTTTTTATGGTGTGGTCTTCGGCCGCCGCACCGATCAGTGCCCAAACAGTATTGGCTAAAGTGGCCTCATTTGGTGGAAATTCCTAACATTTGAGACAAAAGTTAGTTTTGTTGACTTAAATGCGAGAAATAGTTATCCAATACTTCACACAAAACCAAATCAATACAACCGATCCATTTGGCGACGTCTGCCAGGACTTCATCGCTGGTCAGATAGTCGTGAATTGCACTGAAATTATGGTAAAAACATTCAGTACTCAATCAAATAACAAATATATGAGCAAAATATATCTCAAATACCAAACGCCGTCCTCTGGAAGTCGTGGCAAGAAATGTCTTAAATATGTTTTGATAAATGATTGGCAAATGTTTTGCCCGTTTTGTATGAACTCGTTGTTCGCCTTCACATTAATGGACACGTCTTTCACTCCGAGCTCTTCCCGCTGTCGGACCTCTTTGTCGACAAATGACTGGTGAGTGAATGATATCTTAAGACTATCTTCAGACCACTTCTCGTGAAGTCGTTGGTTGAACGCAAACATCTCTGCCTTTAAGCTCCTGCGGATCAAAGACAACACACGTGTGAAGACAATAC